GTGGCGCAGTGGGTCAAAGCCACCGCCTACAGTGCCGGCGTCCCATGTGGGCACCGGTTTGAGTCTCGGCTGCTCCATTTCTGATCCAGCTCTCTGCTGTGGCCTGGGGAAGCAGTAGAAGATGGCCCAGGTCCTTGGGCCCCTGCACTTGCATGGGAGACCTGGAAGAAGCTCCTGGCTCCTGGCTTTGGATAAGCTCAGCTCTGGTCATTGCAGTCATTTGGGGAGTGAACCAGCAGATGGAAGACCTCTCTCTCTCTAGCTCTGCCTCTCTCTCTTTCAAATAAATAAAATAAATATTTAAAATATATAAACGTTCTAAATAAATGATTAACTATTCAAGTTTAGCAGTATATAAAAAGGAAATTTGGCCGGCGCCGTGGCTCACTTGACTAATCCTCCACCTGCGGCACCAGCACCCCGGGTTCTAGTCCCGGTTAGGGCGCTGGATTCTGTCCCGGTTGCTCCTCTTCCAGTCCAACTCTCTGCTGTGGCCCAGGAGGGCAGCAGAGGATGGCCCAAGTGCTTGGGTCCCTGCACCCACACGGGAGACTGGGAGGAAGCACCCGGCTCCTGGCTTTGGATTGGTACAGCGTGCCGGCTGTAGAGGCCATTAGGGGAGTGAACCAACGGAAGGAAGACCTTTCTCTCTGTCTCTCTCTCTCACTGCCTATAACTCTCTCTCTATCTCTCTCATGGTCTAACTCTGCCTGGGAAAGAAAGAGAGAAAGAGAGAGACAGAGAGACAGAGAGAGAGAGACAGAGAGAGAGAGAGACAGAGAGAGAGGAAGGAAGGAAGGAAGGAAGGAAGGAAGGAAGGAAGGAAGGAAGAAAATTTAATAAGATAGGGTTTGTCCCAGGAATGTAAAATGTTATAACGTCAAAACATCTATCTGGGCCGTCCCGGTTGCCCCTCTTCCAGGCCAGCTCTCTGCTATGGCCCGGGAGTGCAGTGGAAGATGGCCCAAGTGCTTGGGCCCTGCACCTGCATGGGAGACCAGGAGAGGCACCTGGCTCCTGGCTTCTGATTAGCATGGTGCACCAGCCCCAGCGGCCATTAGGGGGTGAACCAACGGAAAAGGAAGACCTTTCTGTCTCTCTCTCTCACTGTCTACTCTGCCTGTCAAAAAATAAAAATAAAAAAAAAATCTATCTGTATAAGAAGCTACATTAATAGGCATATTAACTACATTAATTGTGGCATAGCAGTATGACATGGCCTGTGATGCCGGCATCCCATATGAGTGCTGGTTGGAGTCCTGGCTGTTCCACTTCTGATGCAGCTCCCTGCTAATGTTCCTGGGAAAGTAACAGAAGATGGCCTGAGTACTTAGGCCCCTGTCACCTACGTGGAAGACCCAGGTGATGGAGTTCTAGACTCTTGGCTTTGGCCTGGCTGAGCCCTGGCTGCTGCCCTATTTGGGGAGTGAACCAATGGAGGAAAGATCTCTCTCTCTCTATCTCTCCTTCTCTATCTCTGTAACTCTGCCTTTCAAATAAGTAAATAAACAAACATTTTAAGTACATTAATAGATTAAAGGGGATAAATTATAAACCATACTATCATCTCAATAGATAGTAAGTGATAAAAAAAAAAGAAAAAAGAATTTAGTAAAGACCAAAAAAGAAAAAAGCATTTATAAAATTTATTAATGATTTGTGATCAAAATTCTTGGGGTGAGAGGTACCTTTTAGCAAGCCAGAACGGAAGAAATCTTGCTTAACCCAAGGAGAATCTCTGCTACAAACTTAGCACAGTTCTCATATGTAGTGAGGAACCAAAGGAAGCTTTGCCTGTCATGTCAGGAATAGCCCTAGTAGCAGGAGACGTACTACTCAACACAGTCCGGGGCAGCCCTGGTGATTCAGTAAAATAAAACAATCACAAATAAAGAGAATACAAATGGAGGACATGCCCTACCAAATAGTAAAACTTACAGGGCTGGCGCTGTGGTGTAATGGGTTAGACTGCTGCCTACAGCATGGGCATTCCATATGGATGCTGGTTCAAATCCTGGCTACTCTACTTCCAATCCACCTCCCTGCTAATGTGCCTGAGAAAGCAGTGAAAGATGGCCCAAATACTTGGACCCCTCCACCCATGAGGGAGACCCAGAATAAGCTCCTGGCTTCTGATCGGCCCAGCTCTGCCTATTGCAGCCATTTGGGGAGTGAACCAGCAGATGCAAGATCTCTCCCTCTCTCTCTGCAACTCTGCCTTTCAAATAAATAAGTCTTTTGTAAAAAATAGTAAGACTTACATAAAAAGATTTGGAATTAAAGTAAGGTGCTGTGTGTTTGCTATAGGTTAGCTTTATTAATTATTTTATTATTTTAATATTAAAATTTCAAGGGTTCTTGCCATCTATTCAGATAAGAATTCTGAATATCTGCTTGAATAAAACAGGTGACATGGTAAGTTTTTAGCATTTATTTAGTGAGAGAAGTACACAGGAAAATGAGGGCTTTATTTAAGGGAGAAAGAAGTCTAGAAGCTGGGTCCATATCAGGCAGAGAGCAGGCTGGGAGCCACATGGAGCAAAGCGTGTGGTTAGGAGCAGCCACAGGCAGCGTAGTGTGGGCAGGAAAGCAGAGAGAGGGCCTTGGGCACTCCACACCTTTTATCAGCTTCCAAAAGGAGAGTGGTTACACACAGGAAAGATCAGGTAGGGGCATGAGGTCACCCAGGGGCCGGAGGGAGGGCGTGGGGGAGGGCGTGGTCTTCCAGCTCCTGAGTCTAATTGATTTAATCCTATCTGCCTGCATATATCATGTTCAGGACCAGATACATGGAACTGTGTGAGTTTCAAAACAGAACCTCATATATGACTACATGACAGACGTGTGGGGACAGAAAGGGGCTAGACTCAAAGGGTTCTGAGACCTTAGAGCAAAATACACAGAATTCCACGATCACTTCACGTCATCCACAGGACTCGCATGCAGGTAATTGGGATGTGACTTGCCTAATGTGACTTGACTAGCCTAGGAGACCTCCAATGTCATGCTGGTCCTTACTTCCTGTTAGCTTCCCATCCGAACCCAGCCACTGTCATTCTGTGCGAGAATCCCATATCGAAAAATTGCATGTATTACCGGAAATGATACAGAAACATGAAGTAAAACAGTTGATTATGCTTGAAGATCTCCTTTACCCCCACAACTTAGCATCGGCTTACTTAACACTGCAACGGAAGTCACATGAAGTTCCTGATTCAGCAGATGGTTGAGAGACCACTTAGAAATCTGTTTGACAAATCAGACACACAGTTTTCAAAACAACCCTGGGCAGAAACTCGTATGAATGTGGCCATCAAATTTAGAAGACTTAACTTCCAATATCAGCTACACTTGTTAGGAAATTAAATATTTTACATGGGAAATAATAATGTTTTGGGAAGTTCAATCTTGAGAACTTTTGTTCTTTCTCCTAGGTACGTAGTTATTTTTACTTTATATAATGCTGACATAGTTCAACTGATTAGCAACAAAAACATCTCAACCCCAGAAGCAATTTTAACAAGGTCATTGATAAAATAGTCACTATTGTAATCAAACCATTTGATTTTGACTTAAGCCAATAGTCTATTGAGGCTATCCTTGTCTGATCATACTAAAAAGTAGTCTTAAAAATTCTAGCCTCTGTGCCGGAGAGATAACAACCAAAACCCAATTGGCTGGCAAAGAAGCTTAGCATTCAATTACGATGTTAATCATCTTGATAAGATCTCAGCAGATAACTAGGAGGGGGATGGAATTTCTAGAATAATTTTGCTGAATATAAAACTTACGAATAAGGAATTAAGTATTTGCCATTTTATAATTCATTGCAAAAACAGTAGCCAACTTGAACTCTTCCTCTCAAATAAACGACATCAGTAATTTAAACATATCTGGGAATTCCACATCCTCATGCAGTTTTTACACGCATAGTAACTGAGCAATAACCTCTAGGTTTGAAGCAGAAAAATGAAGACTGTGAATTTGCTGACAGCTCTTCTTTGCTACATCTTAACTTGTTCAGTAATAAACTTATACAAAATGTAGTGGCATAGAACTTAATATCTGTTCCCTCCCCCCTCCCCGGGTTTCAGAAGGCACAAGTTGGATACAGACAGCATTCGTGTGAGATGCTAGTGTTTACTTCGGAACTTCTCACACTTAGTGAGGTGAACTAAGAGTGCTTTATGACTCCTGACAGTTGGTGGTAAAACAATGTTAGTTCCCCTCATTTCACAGGGTCCCCAGACATTGCTAATTCAGTTCTGTAAAAGTTGCCAGCTTCGAGTTAAATTTTAGAACAAAAGAGAAGAGGAAGAGGTTTTGTTAACCGAGTTGGTTATTGATAAAAAGCAAACACTAAATGTTTAATTTTGAACCAGCAAGCTGTTAGGTCTATTTTCCCTCCAAATACCAGCTAAATACTACTTTGAATGGTTGACTCACGTTAAAGCAAAAGCAAGAGGAATAACCGAAATATCCCTTGGGTACTGTGAGTTCAAATTCCCAGCCTGGGGCAAAAACTCCTTGAACTATCTCTGAAACCAAATGATTTTAGAATGTGATTCTTGGCAAAACATGCAGACACTAACAAAGTGGTCCTTAAAATAACAGAAAATATTATGCCTAAAATCCCTGAAGTTTAGAAAGAAGGGAAAGAAATGAAGAAGCATGAAATGAAATTCTTTGCTCCTTCTTCCTTTGAAAGCTCACTTGGGAAAAGCCTGGAGGCAATCACAAACCTTGATCAGGACGGAATCCTTCTCTAGTATTTGACTATATTTGCCAGGCTAAAATTCCTGTGCCTGGCTTTCTCTTAGAAATTACCATTCGATTGCAACATGGTCAGGAATAAAGATTAGAGTAAGTAAAACAGTGAACCAGGTCCCAGGACAGTCACTCAGTCACAACCAAGACACGACAGCAATAGCAACCAAACCTTAAAGAGTGAACAACATCTAAGGTTTGAAACCTCTGCAGGGCTCTAACGTCTCACTTACTTGTGCTGAGTCTCTCTGGGGTCTCTGGTGTCTTCTATGGCTGAGGATGTGGCTGCACCTTGGTTTCTATGATGAGTAAGTGATGGTCACAGCCAATGGCAGAAGCGGCCACTTACTTCCACCTACATCTCTTCCCTCACTCAGATGAAACAGGAACGTCCCACATGCTCTACATGGCCTACGTGTGTAAGCCTGCAAAGACTTCTGGGCTTTCTGTACATTGGGGAAGATCTCTGGGTACGAGCAATCCAACTTATTTGCATACAGGCAAAAGTCCAAATAATGAGTGTGTTCATGTGTCTATGGCTGCACGCTCATTTGTTTTCAGGCATACATTGTAGGCTCCTGGAGAACGAGAAACCGTGAGTCCAAGTAAACCGGCTTTAGAGATCCACACAAGACTAGCTTCCTTACTTTTTTTTTTTTTTAAGATTTATTTATTTATTTGAAAGTCAGAGTTACATAGAGAAGGAGAGGCAGAGAGAGAGGTCTTCCATGTGCTGGTTCACTCTCCAGTTGGCTGCAATGGCCCGAGCTGCACTGATCCGAAGCCAGGAGCCAGGAGTTTCCTCCGGGTCTCCCACGTGGGTGCAGGGGCCCAAGGACTTGGACCATCATCCTCCACTGCCTTTCTAGGCCATAGCAGAGAGCTGGATCGGAAGTGGAGCAGCCAGGTCTTGAACTGGCACCCATATGGGATGCTGGCACTGCAGTTGGTGGCTTTACCCACTACGCCACAGCATCAGCCTTGCTTCCTTACTTTAAAAAGTGTCCTTGGAGATTCCTTTGCTGCCCAGGTCTCTCACTCTCACCAGAACCCACCACACAGTCTCATCCTTGACCTGGCCTGGGTTTCTTCATGGCAGTGGCTGACAAGATAGTGTAGTGTTTTATCGCTTTGTTTTCTGTCTCCTCCAGTGGGATGGGGGTTCCATCAGGGCAGGTACCTCATTGTTTTGTTTCCTGTTGTCTCCTCAGGTCTAAGACGAATGCCAGGCATGCCACAGGCACTAAGCCAGGCTTGGTGACTGAATGTTTCTGCACGATTCACATTTTTACAAGCACCCTTACATTTGCACTGCTGCCGGAAAATTCTGTTTTCCGTCATTTCGCAGGAGAGCCTATTGTTTAATCTAAACCTGGAGCGACGGTTCCAGTACACACTGGTAATCCTTCCCAAATGAGTAGCACGTACATGTCCTTTGCTGAAATTTGTTTTTTCACTCCTTTGTGCAGAAATCATTAGCAGCTGTATGCAATATTAGGGCAGCTCAGTGAAAAGAGCCAATAAAGTACCTGCCTGTGTGGTAGTCAGCCTGCGGATCACGCAAGAAACGTTTGAATCACAGGCTGACTTCCAACTTGCAGAAAATTCCCCTCAAAGGCAGCAAAAGCGACCTGTCAGTCAAGTAAGAGTCCCTGTCTCCAAAGTGCTTTTGATTTTGAAAAACATGCATCCATGTATCATAAACATGCATCATTTATTATAAACATGAGAATTGAAAATAAAAATGCAGGTCCCTAAATGTTTAATTGAGTATAACCCCTTACCCACTCCCAAAATCCCCTAAAAAACCGAGTATATAGTCAAAACCAGGTGCAAATAGAATGGGAGTGGTGACTATACAAAATTAACACATTTGTTATCTTTCTTTTTTTTTTTTTTTTTTTTTTGACAGGCAGAGTGGACAGTGAGAGAGAGAGACAGAGAGAGAAAGGTCTTCCTTTGCCGCTGGTTCACCCTCCAATGGCCGCCGCTGCAGCCGGCGCACCGCGCTGATCCTGGCAGGAGCCAGGAGCCAGGTGCTTTTCCTGGTCTCCCATGGGGTGCAGGGCCCAAGCACCTGGGCCATCCTCCACTGCACTCCCTGGCCATAGCAGAGAGCTGGCCTGGAAGAGGGGCAACCGGGACAGAATCCGGCGCCCCGACCGGGACTAGAACCCGGTGTGCCGGCACCGCAAGGCGGAGGATTAGCCTAGTGAGCCGGGGCGCCGGTCTCAAAATTGCTTTTCATTCCATTTTCCCACAAACTTTTTGAAGTGCCTGCATGTGTGCTTTAGGAGACGCATGGGACTAGAACCCGGTGTGCCGGCGCCGCAAGGTGGAGGATTAGCCTAGTGAGCCACGGCGCCGGCTACATTTGTTATCTTTCACTGAGTTTCAACTTACACTTTATTTTTTTAAAAGATTTATTTATTTATTTGAAAGAGTTACAGAGAAGCAGAGGCAGAAAGAGAGAAAGATCTGGTCTTCCATCCACTGGTTCACTCCCCAGATGGTTGCAACTGCCAGAGCTGTGCTGATCCGAAGCCAGGAGCCAGGAGCTTCCTCCAGGTCTCCCACATGGGTGCAGGGGCCCAAAGACTTGGGCTAGCTTGTACTGCTTTCCCAGGCAATAGCAAAGAACTGGATTGGAAGTGGAGCAGCCAGGACTTGAACTGGTGCCTGTATATACATGGGATGCCAGCACTACAGGCAGCGGCTTTACGCACTACACTACAGGGCCGGCCCCTTAACCTACACTTTATAAAAGTACTTGGGCCCCTGCCAACTATGAAGGAGACCCAGATGATGGAGTTTCAGGCTCCTGGTTTCAGTCTGGCCCAGACCTAGGTGTTGCACCCATCTGGGGAGTGAACTAGTGCATGAAAGATCCCTCTCCCTCTCTCTCTGTAACTCTTTCAATTAAATAAATAAAATCTTGAAAAAAAAAAAAAACATTCTGTCCACGCCAATCACTCTTAATCCTCATTTTAGAGATGAGGAAACAGACATAGGGAACTAGGGAAACCACCCAGAAATTTCAAATGGGACAAGGCCGGTTAAAGCCTAGCTCTTTTGATGACATTTCATATTTTTTTCTCTACATAATGCTGCCTGTCGTAAGAGACTGCTTCAAGTTTAAAAATTAAGTTCAAGTATGCAAGAAATAGCATTTTCCTCACTTCCTGTGACCATTTCTTTTTTAAGATTTATTTATTTATTTGAAAGTTATAGAGAGAAGGAAAAGGCATGAAGAGAAGTCTTCTACCTGCTGGTTCACTCCCCAGATGGCCACAACAGCCAGAGTGGAACCAGCCCGAAGCCAGGAGCTTCTTCCGGTCTCTCACATGGGGAGCAGGGGTCCCAAGCACTTGGGCCATCTTCCACTGCTTTTCCCAGGCCATGACCAGGGAGCTGGATGGCAAACGGAGCAGCCTGGATACGAAGAAGCAATGGCACAATGCTGGCCCCAATTTTCTGCTTTAAAACTCTTACTATTGGCTGAGGGAAAACAAAGTAATTCATCAGCGATTGGGGGAGGAGCAACACTTTGATCATTGTCAGCTGTGCCAAGGTCTGTCCCTGTCCTTGTGTGCATGGCCTTCGCATCAGTAGCTCCCTGCTACTTTCTGGCCCAAATATGGCAGTTAATCAGAGACTGCTCCCTAAGATTCCAGTCGCCCAGTGCTCAACACAGCCATTTCTTCTGGTTCTGCCACCTCCCTGGGAGCACAAAAGGATCCCCTGGCGTTGCCCTTCCTTGCTCTGCTCTGGGCCCAGCCCAGGTGTGGATGCTCCCCAGTTGCCCAGATGTGGGTGCTTAGGTAGGGGATTCAGCGCCCTCTGCCTCAGTTCTTTCTTCTGCAAACCGGGATTTAACAGTGCTGAATACTGATTTGTACCCAATCTTTGCCAGGCACTGTTCTGGACACCCGAGATAAAGCAACTGACAAAACCCAGAGAAGGGTCTTGGAAGCACCCAAACATGAACAGGAATAAATCTTTTTATTGATTTATTAAGTCGGAATTACAGAGAGACAGAGAGAGGGAGAGAGCTACTCTCCACCGGTTCACTCCCCAAACGGCCGCAATAGTTAGGGGTGGGCCAGGCTAAAGCCAGGAGCTTCTTCTGGGTCTCCCATATGGGTGGCAGGGCCCAAGCACTTGAGCCATCTTCTGCTGCTTTCCCAGGCCATTAGCAGGGAGCTGGATTGGAAATGGAGAAGCTGGGACTGGAACCGGCAGGCATATGGGATATGCCAGAGTCACAGGCGGCCGCTTACCTGTTGTGCCACAGCACGGGCTCCTAAATCCTTTTCAAGGATTAAATGAGTACGTCCACTAGAGGGTACTTCATAGAGAGTTCACGGAAACTGGAGAGAAAAGGTAAGTTTACTTCCATGCAAATAAAGTTTGAAATTCTTGTGGATAAGGACTCTTCATAAGAACGCATATTATAAAAATTATGCATGAATTTCAAAATTGCTTTTTTTTTTTTTTTGGACAGGCAGAGAGAGAGACAGAAAGGTCTTCCTTTACCGTTGGTTCACCCTCCAATGGCCGCTGCGGCCGGTGCACCGCGCTGATCCGATGGCAGGAGCCAGGTGCTTCTCCTGGTCTCCCATGGGGTGCAGGGCCCAAGCACTTGGGCCATCCTCCACTGCACTCCCTGGCCACAGCAGAGAGCTGGCCTGGAAGAGGGGCAACCGGGACAGAATCCGGCGCCCTGACCGGGACTAGAACCCGGTGTGCCGGCGCCGCTAGGCGGAGGATTAGCCTAGTGAGCTGCGGCACCGGTCTCGAAATTGCTTTTCATTCCATTTTCCCACAAACTTTTTGAAGTGCCTGCATGTGTGCTTTAGGAGACGCGTGGGTAGGAATCCGAGGGCTTACCTCTGCGGAGTCTCTGCTCAGGAACTCCTTCCTCTTCCGTGGTTGGGCTCTGGAATTGAAAACCAGGAAGGCGAGTGGGTGTCAGGGAGCCTTCGTGCCTCTCTCGGTTTCGCCCTCTGTTGAAGAAACGAGCACAGAAGCGCCCGTCTCCCTCACTAGTGAGAAGGAAAAGGGGAAATCACAGGTGCACCCCTGGGGATGGTTTCCCCACCACACTCCAGCCAGCGAGTTATCTTTTCCTGGCGTGCCTTTCCCCCACATCCTGTGCCAACAGACTGGGCGGCACGCTATGCAAAATGTGCATCAGGATATTATACTTTCACTGAATAGATCTTTGTTTTCTCCCATGACTTGCTAATTGGAAAGCTGTTACTCCTGTGCTGTTTAATGGGCAAATTTCTCACGGCTGCCCCAACTCTCAAGGCGAGCCCGGTTTTTGTTCTTTCTGAGTTTCTCCCCTGTGAACTGTTTGTGGTTCTGCAGTGCCTTGAGGAAGAGTTTCACTCCGGAGTGGTGATGGCCGGGTGCAATCTCAACTCCTTCACTTGCAAGTCCGGAGCTGGGGGCACACCCCGACCCCTCTTTTAGCATAGGTTTCTTATCTGTAAACTATGAGGACAAAAGTTTCTGCTTCTCACAGGGGTAGGGGTTAAATGAGCCAGT